GACTTCTCGGGTTACTCTAGGACAGTCCGCTCAAGTGCAATAAGCCATTTCTTTTCATTACCGGGTATATCCTGGGTACAAGAAGGGCACGTGGAGATCTATTGAGGTACTGAGGGGAGCGGCAAGTGAACAAGAAAGCAAACGAAATAGTAAAGAACAAAATGGTTTTTTGTGTTTCTGAAAACCAGTACTCACCTTAAATTGAACAAGCAGGCAGCTCGTAGAGATGATCTGGCTCGCTAGTTGGTGACTCCACCGAATCACTTCGAAGTATCGAGTAAACTAGGCTGAATACCTGGAAATGTTTTGATCTGGTTTATCATTTGATAACGTGTACTCTCCTGATAAGTCGTGTTCTTACTAGTGTGCTATTCAGGGCACGTCGTAGTTGAGGAATCTATAAGGATGGGGTTGTATTCAGGTAGCTAATGGTAAGAAGGAAGGTCTTTGCACCTCCTTGTCCCGGTTGGCGAGTTTCTTTGAGGACGCTGGAATAAGTTAAGGAGGGTGGGGGGGGGGTAACGCCGGACTTGTGGGGCGAGTTAAGTTACGGACTTCAGCTCGTCCATGGCCGTGAGCGGCAGCCAATAAGTACCTTGTCTCTGCACCTGAGCGTCTACTGCCCATCTTCCTGTACATATTCATACCACTTTATGTTCCCCTTAATCAATCGGGTACAGTAATTTTTAGACCCAGCTTGCAGGTCTTACTGCAGGGTGGCAGAGTATTACAGAATCTCCAACATCACTCCAATAGACAGCCCAAATGGTGCACAAAAGTTATACAATAAGGATGCATGCAAGTTTAATTATGGGCCAAAAGTCGTACCCTAGGCGGGTAAAAGCGGCCTTGGTGGGGTAACGGATAACGCACTCGCCCGGAAAGCGTGAGGTGTGGGTTCGACTCCCGGATAGGGTACGACTTTTGAACTCATTAAACTAATCGCACCTGTGACAACGCGTGTAGATAACATAATCAGAACGACGATCTGCCGGCGTACAAACAGCCACGTTGTCATAAACAAACACAGGCTATCGCGTACAGAAGAATTCCTCTGACTCCAGTAACTGCTCCGTTCTTAGCGTAACGAGTCAGATCTTAGTGCGACATTAGACGAATGTGCAGCCGAAATCTACACCGATGCCATCGACCATCCAATATGATTCATGCTTCAACACACCAATCGGCCACTCATTTCCACTTGGAACTGTCCACGCTGGTAAGTGGAAATAATCGCATTGACGCGCAAATTCATGGAAGAACATTATGCCTGTCAGCGACAGGTTATCATGGAGATGGTCGCACACATGCACGAAACGGTCTGCTTGCGATGGTGCTCCTTGTCACCCAACGGCCACTTGCGTTGACGACCAAACGTCGCTGAATCCAGGCGGATATACCTGTCTATGCCCGGTTGGTACGATGGGCGATGGAATAGGTGAGAATCTTTCAAAAGGGCGTGGTCCTTGAAGTCCGATCTTCTTTTGTTCAGGTGAAGACGGCTGTCAACCAAGTAATTCTACAATATGTCGTGAAGGTATATGTATGAATGGCGGCACATGCAAGGTACGATTAGTGACAGAAAGCCCAAAATTCTGAGCTCTCTTGTTAGATTACGAGGTCACGGGCCACGTTGATCATATGGGCGGAGACAGTCAATCAGTGTTCCTTCCTCGCTGGAGCTCCTCGTCCTTTTCCGGTTCTTGTGAGGGGCATAACACTGAGCTAAACGCAGCGTGTGGTTGTCTCCGCCCACACGATCAGCGTGGACTGTGTTTCTTAGGAAATCATCCGTAAATGGCCCCAGGTGGATTACTTCCAAAAAGAAGGGGCAAAGAGCAGGAGACAAGTTCTACAAGTTGTAGCGTCCTGTAAAATTGTAATTTCAGCCTCTATCCGATACACAGTACCGTTGCGCTTGTGAGGAATTCTATTATGGTCTTCACTGTGAAAAGGTAAGTTTTGCCTTGGTATTTTCTAATGTCACTGCTAGAGAAAAACTTGAAGTATTCCCTCGGGGCGATCCTATTTGTTCGCTTTAGCAAAAACAGAGTTCGTATTCGAAATCTGCAGGGCCCGGCTCGAATTCAACCCGTGCTGTATCGGAAAACCAACCAAAAATCACAGATTCCCTAATTTGCATTTGTCCCCTAGCTCAGGGTCAAATAAGCAATATTTGTTCAGAAGAAAATTCCATGCTTGAGTATGGGTGAGATTAGGGCCATATTTACCTTCCTTGTCGGCACATCTCGCCTTAACTAAGAAGGTGACGAGAAGCGGAACGTCAGTAGGGAAAAAGCAGTGGTAGGCCCGGCCCCGCCCAGAGCACAAGCCTCAGATATGCTTTTATTCCCTCTACAACTCTCCATTCCAGCGTTGAGTATGAACGCGATCTAGGGATGATGACTATACCATTCACGAAAGTTTCATTACCTTCGAACCTACCGAATGATATAAAATATCAGCTGATTTAATCTGTATGCAATCGTTATTCAGGTTTCCGCCTGCATCGGGTCACCCTGTGCAAACGGCGGCATTTGTGAAGATAGCGGGCCTGGACAAGTCAAATGTACCTGTCCTATTGGCTTCTATGGACAATGGTGTGAACTTGAGGAGAACAGTAAGTTCAGAGAAGTTCTTATATGTAGGGACAGTTCTCGCTCGTATTAAAGGGGGTGGTTTACAAAGGTACTGCCTGTTAAAGGATGCATTTTGT